TGTTTAAAAATGTTTGAATTAAGTTTTAATTAAAAGTGGGGGGAAAATCCACTTCATATTAATTAAGTATCAATCAAACCAGATCAGACCACAGCTGTGATTATGTGCTGCCATTTAAAATTTGAAATGATAAAACAACAAAAACTTTCTCACTAAAGTCCAACACACAGCACTCTGTGGTTAGTCAGACAGTCAAAATAATCTGAACATTTAAATATTTTATTTTCTCGTTTTATTTTTGCTCAAAAACAGACGATACTTTATGTAAACAAGGTTTAGTGGCCCTAAAATGCAAAATGAAGGATAAATTTTGTGTTAATGTGTTGGTCTTAAGTTAAACTAACATGTAACACTGAAATTGATACTTTGTACTTTAAAAAACACTCAAATGAGCTGGGGTCATTTCTGACCCCTGAGGACCACAGCTGTGTGGACGACATTATGAGGGTTAAGCAGCTGCAGGTGACTGTCACACAACAAAGGCTGAAATAATCTAACCTAGTTAGTCATCCTAGTTTAACTGCAGTTACTCGAATCATTCAAGAGTTGTATCGCCTCCGTGGACTGATCTCTTGATTCCTTTTAGTTTTCAAGACTTAATGAATGAGGTGGTCATGTTATTAACCCTGTCATGCATGAACTATGGAACCTCAATCAAGACTTTTATTCATCTTTAGGCATGAAAAGATGAATAAAAATCCTGATTGAGGATATCATAATTCATGCATGAAACAGTTAAATAATAATTACAAAGAAGCACATCTACAGTAACATTAAAGGCCCAGGCAGCGTTTGGACACATCAGTGTCCAGTGTAGAGGTTTATGTACCATCAACACTGACACAGATACAAACAGCCTTTGCATAGCTGTCCACTGTCGTGACTGCTGTGTGTGAAAGAGTTAACTTATCCCGACTCTGCACTCTCACTCTTGAATGAATTAGACTGAAGGAGGAATAGCTTAGAGCGCCGGGCACATCGCTGCTCTTAGCCGAGACCTTCTCACATCTTTACTCGTGCTTTACATTCAGCGCACTGCATTGTGTTGTGGTGACAACATTACAGGAGACATGCTTATGAAAATTACATGCACTGTGTGCTGTGGATAAGGATCACACAGCATCCTGCCAACAGCACACAGACAGCTATTAATCTCTG